AACTGTGACCCTCACTTCATCCCAGGTCTATTTTGAGCTCTCACTGTGCCCTTTCCTTCATCCCAGGTGTGTTCTGAGGTGTAATTGTGGCCTTTTCTTCATCCCAGGTCTATTTTGAGGTCTCACTGTGGTGTTCTCTCCAGCCCAGGTGTGTTCAGAGGTGTAATTGTGGCCTTTCCTTCATCCTAGGTTGATTTTGATGTCTCACTGTGGTGTTCCCTCCAGCCCAGGCGTGTTCTGAGTTCTCATTCTGACTTTTTCTTCATCCCAGGTCTATTTTGAGGTGTAATTGTGACCTTTTCTTGATCCTAGGTGTGTTCTGAGGTCTCACTGTGACCTTTCCTTCATCCCAGGCCTATTTTGAGGTGTCACTGTAGCTTTTCCTTAAGCCCTGGTGTGTTCTGAGGTCTCACCATGGTGTTCCCTCCATCCCAGGTGAGTTTCAGGTCTCCCTGTGGCCTTCCCTCCATCCCAGGTCTATTTTGAGATCTCACTCTGGTGTTCTCTCCATCCCAGGTGTGTTTTCAAGTCTCACTGTGGTGTTCCCCTCACCCCAGGTGTGTTATGAGGTGTAACTGTGACCCTCACTTCATCCCAGGTCTATTTTGAGATCTCACTGTGACCTTTCCTTCAGTCCAGGTCTATTTTGATGTCTCTCTCTGGTGTTCCTTCACCCCAGGTGTGTTTTCAGGTTGCCCTGTGGCATTCCATTCATCCCAGGTCTATTTTGAGGTCTCACTGTGACCTTTCCTCCATCCCAGGTGTGTTTTCAGGTCTCACCATGGTGTTCCCTCCGTCCCAGGTATGTTTTCAGGTCTCACCATGGTGTTCCCTCCGTCCCAATTGTGTTTTCAGGTCTCACTGTGTTGTTCCCTCCACCCCAGGTGTGTTTTCAGGTCTCACCATGGTGTTCCCTCCATCCCAGGTGTGTTTTTGTCGTGGCCCTGCTGAGCAGGAGGGCTCTCAGGATGTTTTGATCTCTTTGCTGCCGCACCTCAGCAGGCACCAAGCCCCTCTTTGGAGGAACCCTGGTGTACAGACACATCTTGGGAAGGGGTTTTGGGGCTCCTCTCCAGGTGGAGAATCCTGCAGGGGTACAGTGAGCTGGGCTCAGAGCTGTTACCTCTGAGTGTCCCCAGTGTCACCCTGTGCCCAGATCACGGCAATTTCTGTGTTTATTATAAAAAATATTGTGCTGTGACAGAGCCAAGAGCTTCAGTGCTACCTTGAGTGCCACTTCTGTATTTCTGCTGTGCCCTGGTCACATTTTTGGGGCTGTGGGACAGTGCCTGTCCCCTCCTGGGCCCTCTGCCACCCTGCTGGCCCTGGCAGTGGTGGCAGCCAGGACCAGCTGGGACCCTGGAGGGATTTCAAGGAGCCAATGCAGCTCCAACCTGCCCAGAGGGGATTTTCTTCCTCCTTGTGCCTGGTTAGCTCCTGACAAAGACATAAAATAAGGTGCAGGGACTCTGTTCGAGTGCAGCAAGTGCACATCATGTTTAATAACCTGTAAATCTCACCGGGGTGAAGTGACAACAAATTACTGGAGTCACTTACCAGGCAAAAATGACCCAGTGGCAGTGAGGGGGTAAAGCCTTGGGTTTGTTTGGTTCTCCTCCTGACTGTCCTTTTAGTGTTAAAACAAAGAAGAAGTGGTCATTGCTTCACCTATGACAAGGGATTTTCATTTTTCCTCCTCCTGACTGT